GAGATTTTGATTAGGATCGGAATCCCATCATCGACCATCTAAGGTCTTAAAGGTGTTAGCATGCCTCAAAGGTTAGCATATTTTAACAGAGTTCAAAGAAGCTTCATAATTGGCGTCAAAAACCAGTCGGAACACGTTTAGAAATGTTGAGAAGTGGATGGCGACTACATGAAACAAAAAACCAGAAGAGCAGTGTAAAGTTATTACAGCTCATCCTGGAGGGGAATAGTTGTCTTCCTCACAATCCACATTTTGCTTGAGGATATTTGCAGTCAACCAAGAAGACATGGACAGCATCTAATGCAGATACAACAATACATTAACTGGTGTTCGAGTGTGATTGGTCCGTGTCTGTGCACTGTGCAGATGACACATATGTACGCAATGTAGTTATATTAAGTTGAATAAATTAGATATTAAATATATCAGAATTCGATCGATTGGCTGACCTCCAGCATAAAGAGTAACATGATCAAAACAAGAGGATTATGGACGCTGAGCAGACCGCACAGGGAAGGTAATCGTGGTGAATGTGTGTGTGTGTGTGTGTGTGTGTGTGTGTGTGTGTGTGTGTGTGTGTGTGTGTGTGTGTGTCTGACCTATGCGTTTGAGGTCGTTGAAGTCTTGTTCTGGTTCGTTGTATGTTTTCAGCTCCTTCTCGTCGTAGCCGACGTTCATCCATCGGTCCTTCATGATTTGCTGAGAAACAAAACACAATACAGGAGTGGTTTCATTTAGATGACATTCGGGGTCCAGTTTTAATCAGGAGGCACTAACTGTGTGTATTGCTTTGTGTATGTGAAAGTCCCATTACTGCTCCCTAGCGCTGAATGAGTTGAGTCAATAACAATTACCTAAATGATTCAGCAAATGTAAAGACACTTCTCCTAAAATCCTATTGTTGTCTGAACAATGCAGAGCCACACAACGTGACCGCACAACACCGCTACAAACAAACCTAGCAGAAAACAAAACCTCTGAAGTGGAAGTAAAAACCTGCCGACAGGAAACCACTCAGAAGCTTTTATTGTGAAGTCGATTCAGGAAGTTATGGTCTAGGATCCAGAATGACACCATTTATTTTTATTTTGGTGGTCTATGAGTTTTCAACGCAGAGTTTCTGGTTGCTGGTTCTACTCCCTGTTGCCGGGGTTACCTGCAGGCTGCCTCGTTTCCCCGGGTTGAGCACCAGCAGCTTCTTCAGCAGGTTCTCACAGTCAGTCGACATGTAGAAGGGGATCCGGGTACTTTCCTCTGAGAACACGCTCCCTCAGCTCCTATACACACACACACACACACACACACACACACACACACACACACACACACACACACACACACACACACACACACACACACACACACACACACACACACACACACACCAGAAAATTCATTGTCAACAATTTTGATAATTAATAAACTGTTAATCTGATATTTAAAAAAATAAAAAAATCTCTTGTTATAACTCCTCAATTGTTAAAACTTAAAATGAAATAGATGTGTTTGAGTACATTAAGCTGCAGAAACACTTAAGAACAAGTACGTAAAAAATACAGTACTTTAGTAAATGTATTTAATTACTTTCAACCACTGAAATAACACCGAGTTGAGCTCACATGTAAAGGTTTATTCTTGACTTAGCAGTATGTTACTCCTGTTTCTAACCAGTGAGCGGTGAATTGGGAGTTTTTAACATTATTGAAATGTGTTTCTACTATTTTGTCCACACCTTCAGGTTCTGTCCGTCGAACGGCAGCGAGCCGCTGACCAGCGTGTAGAGGATCACTCCCAGACTCCAGACGTCCACCTCCGGCCCGTCGTACTTCTTCCCCTAAAGAGGTACAGAACTACATTACCCAGCAGCCCACAGTTCTGCGACACCCTAACACACCTTACTGTCTTCAGGTGATGCATTTTCAGGATGATTTCTTAAAAAATACATTTTGAATTTGGTTTAAAAAGTTATATTTGCATCTTCAGCTAGAAAATATTATCTTAAATATGTTGGGACACATTTTCATCCATCTTCTTCCATTTTAACCATTGTATACAATAAAACTCCTTAATCAAAGGCGTCTCCTATTCTCTCAAAAGCATTGTTTCTTTTTAAATAACATGAATGAAATGCAACAATGCAAAGTCAATCTATAACTTAATGACGTTGGGTATGCTATTCACAGTTTTCATATTAAAATGATAAACAACACTAAAAACATGAACTGTTATTAAAGCTTTGCCTCTGCACACAAATCTAAAACTGCTCTCACAATAGCAGTGAGTTTTTCTTGCCCTTTTGGTCAAATTCAACCTTCTTTCTTTTCATTTCATTTTCTTGAATCTAATCATTTCCCCATATTTGATATACTCTTGTCGCATCCAAGCCGTCATCTTAACTTTCCATAATTTTCCTTACGTATTCTCATATCTATCTTCACATCTAGAATATGTGTATGTGCTCTGAGGGAACCAATGAGCCATAAGAAGGGCATCTTAAATGTCAAACGTGACATAAATGCAACATGACGTAAATGTGTCCGCCCAACATGTGGTGGAGCTGAGTGTTTACCTGGAAGAGTTCAGGAGCAGCGTAGGGAGGGGACCCACAGAAGGTGTCCAGCTTACTGCCCAGCGTGAACTCATTACTGAAGCCGAAGTCTGCGATCTTAATGTTCATGTCGGCGTCCAGCAGCAGATTCTCTGCCTGGAAGACACACACACAGAGAGAGAGAGAGAGAGAGAGAGAGAGAGAGAGAGAGAGAGAGAATAATAAGTTTAATTATTAAACACTTTATTCATCAAAATAAGTCAGACATCATCAGTTATAATAAAGCAGTTATAGAAATAGAAGCAAGTAAACAAAAGAGAATAGCTGGATT